GCTGCGGCTCGGCTGCTTACAGGAACACGCAAGCATGGACACACCACACCTATTCTGGCTTCCCTCCACTGGCTTCCCTCCTGGCTTCCTTTCCATTTTAGAGTTCATTTTAAGATGTTATTGTCTGTTTTTAAATGGCTTAATGGGCTGGCCCCTCAGTAAATCTCCGACCCCCTCAAGGGCTAATCAGCTGCGGCTGGTAGCCCTAAAACCAAGAAAAAGACCAGGGGAGACCGAGCCTTCTCAGCGGAAGCCCCCGGCTCTGGAACGACCCGTGTCAAATTGTCGCCCACCCTCCAAACTTTTATGTCTCGCCTAAAGACCCACCTCTTTTCCCTCGCTTTCGAGTCAGTCTGAGCTGTTTTATCGATTTTTATGCTTTTATTGTCTGTCCATAGCCTTTATGTACCGTGCATTAATTATTATGTGTGCCTTTTATCTATTAATGTAATATTATATGTTATTATAATGTTATGTTTGGTGTGAAGCACTTAGGTAGACCCTCTGTTTTTATTATGTGCTATATAAATAAAGTGGATTGGATTGGGATGAAACGAGTGCTCCCCTGATCCGAAGATCAACGCACTAACCCACTGAGCCACCACCATCCCCAATTTCTTACGATTTAAATACTTGAATAAAGATGATGGTAGAAACATACCAAAATGCAGAAGCAGCAGGATGGTTTGATAGCTCTGGTCAAACAGGATAACCGTCTTGTCTGCCACAACAATGCTCCAGTTGGACCCACTGGAGGCGGATAGACGGGGATCTCTCTGCACCTGCAACACCCAGCATTACCATCAAATCACTCTAAAGTCTGCTGCTGTCTGGCAGGCGGTGCCGCAGCATGAGGTCTGAAACCACCACTCAGACAGTTTCATCCCACAGGCCATAAGAATGTTAAACACCTGAACTTTTGAAAGAACATACATAACATTAATCTGTTTAAAACTCACATATATCAATATTCGAATTACTGTATATAGACTATTCTGCACAGTTTTTATCACATTCTGTTTCAATTATATTCTATTTTATTTTATTGCACCATTATCTGTTTTATTGTGTTGCACTGTTGGAGGAGCCTGTGACCTAATATGTTCATTGTCATAACTACACTGTAGCTATGTACGCATGACAATAAGAGCCTTGAAACTAATAAGTACTTTTACTTTTGGTACTTTGAGGATAGTGTGCGAATACTTTATTATTTTACTTGAGTAACATTTTGAATGCAGAACTTTTATTCTTTACACTGTGTGTGTGTGTGTGTGTGTGTGTGTGTGTGTGTGTGTCGTACAAATTGGAGTAGCAAGGGTACAAGAGCATATTCGAGATTGAAACATTATAATATATTAATTACCTCATTGGCAGTGGAGATTTTGACCAATGTGTCCACCTGATACAAACCACTACCATTCTCCTCACTGCTGAGGCGGACCGGGTTTGTGTCCTCGTTGGTCAGAAGCTCAACGTCGCTCCACATCGCCATGTCATGCAGCGAAGTTAACTACATGGGAAAGATATGACGATTTTCATCTCAACATGAGTCAACATGAGACGTTAACTTGATTTTAGCCAGGCTAGCTAGCAAGTTCTGACAACTCTGTAACCCATTACACCGCAATGTTATGATAACGCTGTTAATTCAGCCAAGAGATACAAGACAAACAACATGTAAGGCTACCTATTAGTTAGCAGATTGCCGACACCGCTGATACAGTTGAGAATTAGTTACCAACTCACGAAAAATAATCAGACGGCAACCATAACATCACTTCACTTTAGCTTTATAAATTGGCGGGTTGCTGACGGTATTTCATGGGTAACTTTCCCCTGGGTTTTGTCTACCAGATACTAATTCCAACTGAGTTTATGGAGGCTATGCATACAGCATGCCACGTTTTTTATGATTTATGAATAGGTAAACCAAAAGCCACACCCAATATGTTAATAAAATCAACCGTGAATCCAAATATAATGTTTTACTAGACAAAGATTATTTCGTCTGCACACAGTCTAAGATTGAGTGCTGCCTGACAGGCTGAATTCAGGGGGTTAGACCACGATCTCTCACACAGGAGGGCGGGGCAATAGAGGAACATCCGGAGAGCCTTGTTGCGTTGCCAGTTTGGATACGTTTCCGTTGATTTCATGTTCTTCTGCTACTTTATAAGTTATAAGATGAAATCCTTTACCAGTAATAACACAGTTTTTAGTGTTCACAAATCAGATTTTCTTCAGTTGTTTTAACCTTATCAATAAAGTATTTAACATTTTGTAAGAACCAGACCTGACCACATAATGTACTAAAACAAATCATTTTCGGTTTAAACCTGCGTCACTTTATATATTATTTGTCAAATTTGACACTAAATCTCTTTCATGTCATTATTTACAATATTTGCCTAATATTATCAAAGCCTTTTTCCATTATACTTCTCCATAAATAGAAAAACCATCCCTGTGTTTTGTCCGCTTGGTTAACTCTGTTTGCATTGGCAGGAATGCAAAGGATACAAGAGGTAAAACCTGGCAACCCAGATCAAATTAGCTTAGCTCGACTGGAGCAGCTTAAGGTCCTCCGTGTTTGCAGTCAACAAAACAGACGTGTTACATAAACATTGTGCTGTTGGAATATGTCGGTAAGTACCAATACACAACGATGATCAGTACACAAATAGATGCAGGAACATATAAATAACGTAAGTGTAGGTTAACGATTCTATTTAGCAAATATGTTATTGGTAAAGATGGCGGCTACCGTTTGTTAGCTTAGCGACCAAGCTAATGTAAAAAAAAAATCCTTCTAATGGAAGAATGAATGTCGACCGTAATAGAGTTTAGCTTATTCAGATAGCATGTTGGCTAATTGGTTTGTTTTTGATTTAATGCCCCGTAACAATCGTGATATGCATTTGGTTAAAACATAATCATCGTCATGACCGAATAAAAACCACCGGACGTCGTACATTTGCCGAATTTAACATCAGTAGCTGCTATTTAAAAGTGTGAAGACCTGCGAGAACAATTTGTATTTAAGGCGTTATGGTGGTGCTAATGATAAAGTTCTGTTTTGGTCTGTATGGCTGATGGTTATCAACGATTCAGCCATACGACCAAAACAGGCCCATTCACTTAACAATACTGGATTAATGTTACTTTTAAAGTAATTTCTTACCATCTGACTGTGTATTAAGTTAAACTAGTATACAGTACTATCACATTTAAACTGCTGGATGATCAGTGAATCGAAAAGGGCTGAGTGGAATCGTTCATAGTCAAGTAAACATCTCATGTACAGTACATACTGAGAAAATGCATGAAATAGGGCTTTAATCCGTTAAAGAAGACAGCCTAGCACTACAGGCCATCTTCTCTAAAACTGTGAATTTAAAATTATTTTTCATTTAAATCCTGTCTGCAGACTATTTGACTTAAATGATGGGCAAAAGGAGATGTTAAGAAAGGAACAATTGTATTAAACACGTATTAGGAGACTTGTGAATTAGTTTCCTGTCTGTAACCATAATCCATTTAGGAAACGGATGGTATTATCGATATCAATAAATTAGTCTTTTACTTTACGTGAGTGCTATTTCAGAACTTGTAATTATTTATATTTGTATGTATAAACCCATTCAGGATATAGTGAGATTGATGTTTATATGCATAGTTTTGATTGTGTGTGTGTGTTTTGAAGATTGAGCAAAGTGATACAAGGACGGTAGTATTAAATTAAATCATTTTGTGTCATCAAAACACATGTCCTATATATCCTTATGTAACAGACTATGTTATGTTAAAAACTGTCTCATACCCTGCCACTCTAAATAATTGTAATAGAACAGTACATCAGTGCTTTAGCTTATAAAACCACACTGATTTGCTGCTGACGTGTTTTGATCTCATATCCATATTTTCCAGGGAAGTGACAATGATTCGGTTGACATGACCAGACCAGGCTCCCCAGTTCATCACAGAAAAAAACACAACATGGAGTCATCCAGGTCTCCCCGGAGCTCCAGACCTCACCATTCAAGGTCAAGGTCACGCTCCAGGGAAGGAAAACGTGAGTATTCAGTAACGGACAAATCCCCTGCTGAAGTAGCCGAACAAATGATGGCCATGGTATGAGTTTTGTTCTCAGCAGATACACTCATGAGATCCATCAGTTTGTGGAAAGAAAAAAGCCACCTTCTCATTGAGCAACGATCAGAAATACCTTTTGTCATATCTATGCTTTCTGCTATTTTCAGGAGACAGAAAAAACAAACGGAGTCGTACCAGGAGTAAAGAGGTAATTAATACATTTCTTTCTATGACTAAAAACACATTTGATGTGATTTTGAAGTCCTTAAGTAGTTTTTCTTGTTAGTTTTAGGTAAAGGTGAGTATGTTTTTATAAGGTTACATTTGTTACAATACCTAAAGTTAAGAACAAAAGAAATAGATGACATTGGGCTCGCTCGTGGAATGGTTGACATGTGTCAAAGGAAGCTTTCATCCTTCGATATCTGTCATTGTTTGTGTCCGTAATAAAAGGTGAAGAGTAGCTTTTTTTGTTAAATCCTGTGTGTAGATCACATGATAACATTTCTATAACAAATCATACTCAGCGTGCTAATGCACGAAGAGACTGAACAGAAGACCCTGCTGACATAGCAAAATAATATGTCTACTACTGGGACAGGTAACTATCTGCCATTCAAACTCCTATTTATCTCACACTATTAGAAGAATAATCTTTTTCAGCTAGGGATGGGCATAATTCATTAAATTAATCTCATTTAATCCAAATGATCTCTTTTCATTAAATCTGGAATTGTACGACTCATTTGTTTTTATAAAGAGTAAAAACGTTTGAGCTCTGTTAAGTGATTTGCCACATCATACTAATGAAGACTCGTTCCAAACAGTGTTACCGTCACATAAACATGTTGTTATAAGAATTACACATACGATGGTCATAGGATATTAAATCGTGTAGAAATGCATCATTCATTTAATTTCAAAAGGGTCATCTGTGCTTTTATATGTTAATTATATCACCAGTGTTGTTTGATTTGGATGGAGTAAGTAAAGAAGCTGTAAGAAGTAAGTCGATGCCCATCCCTACTTTCACCTTTCAGTGGTTTCAAGTCCAAAGCATTCTGGAGACATTGAATTGGGTTTTTTGCAGAACTGACGACTCGAATATATGTTTATAAGAATTAGATCCTAGTGTTTGCATGCAAAGGATGACATCGTCTGAGAGTTTCCAAATGTGTTTTTATTTTGATTGATTGCAGTACATTATTACATTTAATTAGCTGACACTTTAATTCAGAAAGTATACAGCGCCGTAATTTGGCATGTATATAAGCGCTGATATATTTCGAGTCACTGAATGTAGTGTAGTCAAATGAGTCTATATTAGAAATAAATTCCATTCTTGCAATCCTGTTCACAACACGACATTCTGTGTATGTTATGAAAGTAGATTTGAAATGAGAAGGACTTTTGTTTTTACAAACCAATTTGATTACATACCGTCTGCCTTAAGCCATGGTACTAACTCTTTTTGTTGCACTATTTTCCTGAAAGAGACAACTTCTTCTTAAACAGGCTCGAAAGAGGGACTCGGAGAAACCATCAAAATCGCACAGAAAAACAGACGAGCAGCAAGAGGCAGAGAGACTTTCAGCAGAGGATGGAGACGAGCGATCCAGACGCAAAGACAGGAAACCCTCCAAGGGCCGCAGCAGCGCCTCCAGGTCACACTCACGAGAGAGGTGAGTCTGATCAATACAATCAATATGTTCTGCAGGTCTACATTCATTGTTATTTAGGGTCTGGTATGTTTTCTGGATTAATGATGAGATCTTAAAATGTATGAAAAGGGTCTTAAAAGGTATTACATTTGACTTCAGGATTCCTGCATACCCTGCAACAGATAATCAAATGTATGATCATTTTTATCGTAGAAGCTCTGGTCCTAATTAATAGTTGGCACTTTTCCATATCCAGGGCCCAGGAGTTCAAAACTTTGAATCCCTATCTGATCGGATCAGATTTGGATTTTGTTTAGTTCAAAACAAAGAAACAGGATTAGGATCACTTTGAGATCAGATCAGATCAGGAAATCAAATCCAAGCTTTAATCTGGATCAAATCTTCAAAACGGATAGTTCAAACCGACAACACAGGATTGGGATCAGTTTGATCCCAAAAAACTGGATTATCTTGATCCCACCAGAGGGGTGGATTTCCAGTGGATTACTAGAGCAAAATGTACTGTACCATTTATTTAAAAATATGTTTCAATATAAATAAAATGGCAAAGTTTGTTAACTGAATTAATACACACATTTTAGCCTTCATGGCAAATCAATTTTATTTTTCATTTTTTGGTCACGTTTGTGGTGGCCTATTTTGTTTTCAACCAAATGTTGATGACATAAATGTTTATGCTCATAAAATTATCACAACAAAGATTGTCAATCACAAATGTAATTTAGATTAAAAAAAAAACCATCATCTGTCATCACCTTTCAAAAGTAATTGCGGACAATAGATGTCTCTGCAATGTGGTCTCTTGTCTTCCTTGTATTCTTTTTCATATCCACTAGATGGAGATCGGTATAATTAAAGCACTGATATTCAGGATCTAGTAATCTTGAAAAGTCTGAATCTGGATCAGGGTGATCCTGAATTGCTTTGAAATATTGGGACAAAATCTGTCCGAGTTGTCTGATCCTGGATCACAAAAAATGGGATTTCAAAATCTGATCGGATCTGATTGAGATTAAAAGTTTTGAACTCCTGGGCCCTGTAGACTGGATATCCTTAAAGGGAATCTAGGATGAATGGTGAATCGATGATTCACGTTGATGGATTGTGTTACTTTCAGACGGCCTCACAGTAAAAGTAAGGACAAACGGCGATCACGATCACGTAGCCGCGACAGGAAGAAGAAGTCGGCGAAGTCTCGCTCGGGTTCAAGGACCAAACACCGCCATCACAGCAGAAGTCGCAGTAAAAGCAGGTGAGAGTGATCCTACCGTTTAGATGAAGTGTTTTTGATCTTTTGTTCTACTTGCTAAGTTTCTTTTTCTGTTGTTGTTCCCCCAGGGAGCGAAAGAAAAGGAGTGAGAAAGTGCTAAGAAAGAGTCGAAGCAGGTCTGTTAATCCACCTGCCTTCCGGGGCCGAAACCCAGCTATGGATGCACAAGAGGCCCTGGCCAGAAGGCAAGGCAATAGCTTCCAGGGCTTTTACAATGTAGATGGTCTCGACAAATCCAAGCAATGCTAGGGGTGCTTTCTGCATCGGCTACAAAGCGTTCTTTTTCAGTTATTACCCTAACCTTGTCAACCTCTACTGCTCTACTAATGCCTGACATGTTATCAAGATGAAATGGGTAGCAGTGAAATGACAGAGTATGAAGCTTTAGACCATACAGACATCTAAATCCCTCCATCAGCCAGCTGGCTCACTCCTGAAGTTATTCAGATTTAAAGTTGTTGATCACTGGGTTTAGTTTAATCTGACTTCTCAACCATGTTGCACTTACCAGAGATCACATTTGTTCATAAAACCACATTGGTAAGAAATCAAGGACACATTAAATGCAGATAGATGGGGTACACTGGTTGTCTTGGTGAACATGTGATTTTAAATATCCACATTTAGTCTGGCCGGGGACCTTTGTTGCATGTTGCACCTTCTTTATCTGCCTTCCTTTCAAATCTCTACTGTCCCCCTGTTTAAAGGTAGGGTAGGTAATTCCCTTCAGAAACACTTTGTTATATTCCATGGAATGCTCTTAACATCCCGATAGCAATGAATATATTAAATGCTTTGACAATAAATACATTAAAAAATGTCATCTCTGGAAGCCGTAGCGCTGTAACAAGCACGACCAATCATCTGAGCCGGCCCGGCTAAAGTAACTGGATGGCCTACCTGCCTGTCAGCCTTCCATCTGTGCACAAACTTATCTCGTGCCCTCATTGGTCATGTGCGCGTTCGTGTGTGTTGGAGGAGGGGCTCTGTAAGGAAGTCTGAAGGAAGGGGCAGATTACTTCCGGTTGTGTAGCGCACTCGAGCTGGTTTCTCCATTCTTACCTACCCTACCTTTTAATGAATGCAATAATGCAAAAAAAAAATACAAGTGTAAAATCTGGCTTATGTCTCCAACATGTTTTTTTTGCGTACAAAATATTTGATCACTTCTAGATACACAGAAGGTGACAGGCCTTTAGATGAAAAAACTAACGTGATGATCTTACTGTTTTCCTTCCAGGCTGGAGAGAGCAAAGAAACTGCAGGAGCAGAAGGAGAAGGAGATGCTGGAGCAGCAACAGCAGGAGATAACTGCAGGTGAGAAGAGCTTAATGTGCCCAAGTTTTCAAATCATTTCAGTCAAGATTCAGTAACTTACTCATGCTGTCTTTTCTATTTCCAGTGTCCGCCCCTATCGCGGCGACGGCTGCTGCAGCGCTCACATCGAACCCCGCGCTCAATGTGGCCGCCCTGCTAGCCTCTGGGACCCAGGTCACGCCACAGATAGCCATGGCGGCACAGATGGCAGCCCTTCAAGCGAAAACACTGGCAGAGACGGGCATCGCGGTGCCCAGCTTCTATAACCCATCCGCTGTAAACCCCATGAAGTTTGCAGAGCAGGAGAAAAAGAGGAAGATGCTATGGCAGGGAAAGAAGGAGGGGGTAAGATAGGATTTTGCTGTTACTTCTTATTTATCCACCAATTCCATATTTGAATAACATTACATGAGTCTTATCATTTCTGTTTTCTTTTAAGGACAAATCCCAGACAGCTGAGTTGTGGGAAAAGCTCAACTTTGGAAACAAGAACCAAAATGTTAAATTCCGCAAACTAATGGGAATAAAAGTAAGTAATAGTCATTTTACTCGAAGACAAAATAAGTTGTTTGTTAACAGCATTCAAAGTTGGCCCCTCCCCTCCGGCTCACTGAGGGTTACAGTGATTGCCTGCTTGCATTTCGTCTGGATTTCATATGTTTTTCAGCCCTGTGAATGCTTTTCGTAGCTTACTCTCGGATGCATACTTAAGATCAGACATCTGGTCACTACATTTTTATAGAGATTGACATTTCAGAAAAGACATATGAACACAGCAATTAAAAAAGTTGCCGTAAAATGTTCAATACACAACTTGATGCTTTCTGAATGTTTTCTTTTCCGCGCTAAAATCCATTTGGTGTGTTTACAGGGAGAGGATGAAGTGGAACCCGAAGTCGCCCAACCGCTCAACGAAGAAGGCTTGAAGACTCTTCAGAAGCAGGAGGAGATGTTCAGGAACCTGGACGTTCAGTACGAGATGGCTCGCTCTCAGACGCACACTCAGAGGGGGATGGGCCTCGGCTTCGGCTCCTCATTCTCCCGTGGGATGGACTCCATCTAGCGCCAGACATTTGCCCCACATCTGATCACACGGGACCACCAATTCATCGCTAGCCCTCAAGCTTGCATGGATGTCGCTATGAATCTGTAATTTATTTATAGACAAACATCTCACATATTGGAACATTATAATGTAAATAGGCAGATGCTGAGTATGTCTCACTGTGTATTAATCTGTATTGTAACCTTTGCAAAAGGATGCATCAGCTTGACTGGTTGATACTGGTTAAGATTAGATATGTTATTTGTTTGAAAATGTGGTAGTTTTTTTTAACTCATATGTGGTTGTTTGAACATAAACAGAATATGATATGGCTCAAGTTAACACAGTTAGCAAAAAGGTGTTTGAAGACAGAGTAGCATTATCAAAATCTCTCATTTAATTTTCCTGATTGGGAAAAACACAGCATTGGATTTTATTACATATTGTACTCAGTATTGCCATGGATAAAGATGGGCTTGACAGCAGAAATCACATATTTCATATGCTCCTAATAAATTAGTTTTGTGTTGACTGTGGTTATTTTTATTCATTTCAACACCGATAATATTTTTGGTTTAAATGAACAAATGTTTTTCCAAATCAATTTGTAAACAATGAAACAGGCAAAATCATATGGAGAAAAGCTATATGTTCTGTGAATTATGTTAGAACCATGGATTATCTTCACAAAATGTTACATGATTTGTAAAACACAATTTGTGTGCAATCATAATTAAAATAAACAAATTATTAGACCATAGCAAAAGGACTCCCCTGAAGGTCGACACAATATCGAGTTGTCATGCAGCCCTAGTTGTTACGAAACCTGATAGAAAACTAGACTGTACAAAGCAAATAAAGGACAGTTTCATATACAAAAATAGATATGTATTAGAATACTGGTTTAAAAAAAAGGTTCAGTTAAATTCTTGGTGTTTACGCCAAAATGAAAAATCTCCTATTTACATATAAGACTGGAGTACAGCACATGAGCAACACCGGTGATGAGGTTGTGGTTGGCGAACTCGAGGATGAGGAGCAGGATGGGGAACTCGCTGTGTCTCTTCTCCACAGTGGACTCCTCACTTAAACCCATCCAATGTAGCAGCAGAGTCTGCATGGCTTCTGGGAAAAGCTCTGTCACTAGTTCCTCAGCAGGTGGCAAGTCACTAATCCGCTCAATGTGCTGAACTTTAAAGTCCTCCACTCTCTGGCTGATGCTGCCGTTGGCTGCGTGAAACTGCTGGCCTAGCCACCGTCCTACACCACAGAAAAGGGAACTTGAATACACACTGCCCCAGTCTTTGGCCTGTAGTAGGGCTATGACCGTGTCTGTTACATCCTTTTCTTCTAGATTCCCATTCATGTACCGCTCAATGTTCTCCAAAAGCAGCAAGATAGTCTCCAGCTGCTCTGTGTAGCTGTGAGTCTCAGAGGAGAGTTTGTCATCCAAGCTCTGTAATTTCTCTCTCACTGTTGAAACAACAAGTTGGCTGTGCTCTGTTTTCAATGTCTGTTTAGGAAAAGAACAGTAGTCGTGATCTGCTGATGCATCGACTGTTTCACTGCTATATACATCCATCGATTCCCTACCAACCTGGCGATGCTGAGGTTGTGACATTTCCCTCCTGGATTCTGTATCCTGCAGGCTGCTGGACGGAGTGTTGTCCAGCTGCACACTGAGGCTGTAACTCGTTTTCAGAGGGCTGTCATTTATCTGGGATTTCCAAACATCCTGCAATGTTAAACAGTAAGAAATAAAACATTGATACATTGAAAAAAGAAAATATATTATGTAAAGACATTCGAAATGCTTACTGTACTGCACCTGGAAGTTCTCAAGCACATCAAGCTGCTCCTGCTTACTGTACATCTCGAACGCTACTCGAAAAAGTCCCTGAACGCTGTAGAACCAGAGGCTGTTGTTTGCAGTAGATACCTTCAGCCCATGGAACCTGAACGCTGCAACAGGAAGACAACAGTGTGTGTATTGGTGTAAGGGAAGTCATTGGAACACATTTGTGCTGCTAATTTCTCCTTTGTATTTGTTTACCTGAGGAAAAATGTATTTTCGTTGCAAAGCCTTTCTTGGCAAACTTGGCATGGTATCTGGGATGGTTCTCTGTGCGAATGTCTGTGTTGGAAAACAGATCAGCGCCTAAAAAGAGAGGAACCACTGGACTCTGAAACAGATACAGAGATGATACAAATGATGTCGTTTGGTGTGATATTAACATAAATTGAGAAGTAATACTGCTAATAAAATGCATTTCAAAAACAGACAAGATTACAGACAACTGTCAAGTTGCTTTACAAAAACCGGGGGTGGAAGATGTAACTTTTTTACTGTAGTAAAAGTAGAAATACCACAGTGTAAACATACTCAGTGACAAGTAAAAGTCCTGCATTGCAAACATCACTCATTTAAAATGACAAAAGTGTTAGCATCAAAATAAACTTCAAGTTTTCCCATTTCAGAATACTATATATTGTATATTTTGATTATCAATATTGATGCATTCATCTGTTATCAAAGCTGGAAAAGGGGCAGCTAATTTGAATTACTTTGTATGCTGCAGGGTAGCTTGTTTTACTCGAGGTGTAAGAAAAGTCTTATTTAAGTGTTGAATATAATTCAAAATCATTAATAAAACATTTGTGACTATATTTAAGGTATTAAATAAATATAGTGGAGTAAAAGTACACAATTTACCTCAACGTAACCAACATTGAAATACTAGAGTAAAGAACAAACTCCTCAAAAATGTACTTAAGTAAATCTACTTAATTACTTTACACCACTCACAGACAGAAGCCTGCAGTAACACTCACCTTGTTGGAGCAGTCTGTCAGTCTGAACGATGTCAGATTCACCAGCTGAATAAAGCGAATTTTTCGAGAGCCCCCGTCCCAATGCGGTAAAGCTAAATGGGTAGTAGAGGGGCTCGACATTGCTGGAAGCAAGGGAAGCTTCTCAATCACTCACAAATATCTCTTGTCCCATAGAAAGACTGATTGTTTCACCATTATACTGCACACTACAGTAAAGTAACGACATTCAAGCGGGGTTAACAGGCAACAGCAACAAACCCAGATGACTGCCGGTGTCGACACCGGAACAGGAATTAAAGGGTAATTTTACGCCCTTAGCTTTGTCTTAAAGGCGAAAGCAGCGGCGATTCATGAGCTCTATAACACGATGCACTGAAATGTTCTGAAAAGTACGAAGTGTTGACTTGTACTTTCAAATATAATTACACATTCATTATCTGTAATGTGAAGAGACCTGAGAAGCAACGATAGTTTATTCTCCTTGTGTTGGAGTGATGTAGCCTGATATAGATGTTTCTGGGCTTAGAACAACACCATTTGTCGTCTGCGTATCACGTGACATGAAGAGAACCAATGAAAAACGATTAATAACTGCTTTCACCTCTGAACCTGGATCCGTCCTGCCTTCACCACAGTGTTGTAAAAAATGGCTGAAGTTGATTTCGGCGACAGTGAGCTCTTTGAGCAGCTCGATGACTCTGCACCGCCGACCGTCCCCACGCATATTCGCTTCACATTCAACGATGAGGAAGAACAGGAGGAGACGAGCCAGCTCCCGAGCCGGCTTGAGGAGTGTGATGAACACATCCAGAGACTCACCGAGGAGAATATCCTTGTACCAGTGTGTGTTAGCTCTGTGGATGTAGCACAAGCTAACGGCGGCTAACGTCGCTAGCCTACTGTCAATAACCAAAACAGAAAACGCACAACCCATAAATGTACGCTGATGGCTATTTTTTTAAGAATGTCTGTCTAATTCCTTAACTCATTGATCACATAAAGGTTTGAGAAGGAAACTGAACATCATGGCACGACCAAGGTAATTGTGAGCTGAATAGTTAATGCGCCAAAGAAATGAAACGAAACTCAACATAACAATCATGTCATGGTGTTTCCCATAGTGCACACAATTCTTTGCCTTGCCAACATTAAATGGAACATTGATTGGAATATAATTTCAGATTGAATTATAAATTAATTGTAGAATTATATTTGTACTGACCAATAGTATTTATATTTTATACATCTGTAAGTGTGATAGGCATTATGATATGTTTTTCATGTTTGATGATTGTTGTGTGTCACTGCCCAGCGACTGCAGATGAAAATGAGATTTAAACTATAATCTGGCATATAGCATCTCTTCTCTTTTTGAGATTCATTCATTTGTATGCATGGTCCTTGTGCATTAAACATATATATAATAATAACAATAATAATTGTTCTTTCTCTTTACAGCGGCATGCATATTGAAGATGCCAACATGGACGGGCCAGCTCTTCAAGTCCTTTATGCAAACAACATTATTTCAAAGTAAGCAGTCACATGTGTTCATTGTTTCACTTCTGTTTTGCATCGTATGTTTTATCACGTCTGTCCTAGTATGTCCATCAATGGTTAGCGAATATAACATTTCAGAACAATGTCTGTCTTTTTATATGTGTTGATGCATCTCTGATTTTAATATTAAAGTTGGGGGTAATTTCAATTGCTTTATATAATGCTGTGTTGTTTGATTGTTTTATTAATAACGTATATCTTCATCGTTGATCATATTTTCCATAACTAGTCACTCAATTGATAAAATAAGAACAATATCTCCCTCTGAGTAGAATTATAAAGTTACATCAAATGTAATTACTCAAGTAACTCAAAATGTTACTTTAGTGTAGTGCTTTAATGTATTTACTTAGTTACTGTTCAACACTGCTGTCAAGTTGGCGTGATGGTAAAACATTTCTGTTTAACCATGTTAACACTATTGCTAAAACACATTTGTTTTACGTCCCTTTTGTTTGGTTTTCACACATTGGGTTATAAGATGAAAGTACAGAATTTCTATTACTTTGCTGTGTGTGTGTACCTCATCGCTAAATTGTTAAAAAAAACTTAAACTATACACGTCTTCCCTTTTAGGCAATGTCGTCAAGAAATTGAAGATTGCATCTGCAATTTGATTTTTAAGCACCAGAACCCGAGCAATGAAAAGAGAACATCCATCATTCAAATGACACCTCAGGTATTAAACAAGAATGTGTTTTTATTGTCATTAATATCAATAGAGTTATGAACCTATGTTAAAACATGTTCTGTTCTATATGAAGAATTCAGCCTTTGCTATGGAGGAAGATCTGCAGAAGTCTCCTTCCAGCACTGTAAAAAAAACAACTGAAGCCTTTAAAGTGAGTATTTACTGTAATTTACAGCAGTTTGAATATTGCATAAAGTATAACCCTTGCCACATGGAAAAAAGAATTGGATGTTTCAAATAGATTTCCTGCCAAGTTAACATATACACTATGTTTCTTTTCTAGGTGGTGGGAAGTGTGTTATATTTCACTACCTTTAGTGTTGACAGACTTGGACAGCCTCTGTTAAATGAAAACCCCCAGCTGACAGATGGATGGGATGTTCCAACGTATCTTTAAGAATGATAAACTGACGCAAACAAACAAATCAACAGTGTAGTCCGTTCACTTGTCTTCAACAAGGCATCAGAATATTCTCTTTGATTGGCAATTATCTTTAGTTTTCTGAAAAAGGAAACTTGTAGCTTTTACTTTTAAACAAACACGATAACATTTCCTGAATTTTTGCAAAGCTATCAACAGGTTTTCAACCAAGTCGTTGGCACAGATATTGAAATGAAAGAAAAAAGGTATGTAATAAAAATGTATTTAGTTTCTATCCTTTGATTCTTCTTTTGTTTTTGTGTGGCATATACCTGTATAATGAGTCCATCACTCATCTGTTCATCGTAGACCCAAGTCAATGTGTTTCAACTGTGGTTCGAGTGGTCATCAGCTGAGAGACTGTCCCAAGGTAAGAACAAGTTAGCATTATTATGATTTGAATGTAAACATGAGTCATAACTTGATATACTCTATTTATACATGTTACCCTCCATAGCCCAAAGACATGGCTGCAATTAATGAGCGAAGAAAGGAGTTCAATCAGAACAGCAACCAGTCCATGCAGAGCAACCAGCGGTACCACGCTGATGAAGTGGAGGAACGCTTTGCGAAATACAAGCCTGGAGTCATGAGGTAGGCTTTTTAGTTCATGCCCAATAGACACAACTAGGGCTCCAGTGATTTCTATTTGTATTATTTATTCTTTTTTGGTGAATCTGCATATTGCTTTCTAGGTTAATATTTGGTCTATTAAGTGTCAGGACCTAGTTAAAGTGTCCATCCATTCTTAAAATCCAAGATAATGTCTTCCTACCGAATAGTATTCAATGAGTGATTTAGAAAAAAACCTATATGTTAGATCCTGAAAACAGGATGTTCTGCCATTTTGCAATAAAAAAATCCTTTAATGATTGATGGATTATCCAAATAGTTATTTTTCTGCTGATACATTTATCGTTGCAGCTCTACAAACATTATTTGTACACATGTTAGGTATATTGTTCATGTTAAAGTAAGTCTTGAACCTAAATGTTTTCCACTGTTGTGCTTTTGAACAGTGAGGAGCTGTTGACAGCTCTTGGAATTGAAGGAAACACCCTGCCTCCTCTCATTTATCGAATGAGGCAGATGGGATATCCCCCAGGCTGGCTCAAAGAGGCAGAGATGCAAGATTCTGGCTTGACGATGTATGATGGGAATGGTATGTTTGCAATTACATTTAAACAGATTTTTCTTTCAGATATCAAAACATAATAATTTCATTGAGATGTAGAAAGATTTGACTGAATCTGTGACTATTTTCTTCTGTTTTCTAGTTCCAAATGAAGGTAACACAAAAGACAATTCCCAAAACATCTCTTATGATGTTTCCAAACTGGTGGACTTCCCCGGTTTCAATGTTTCTGCACCACACACAATGAAAGATGTAAGTCCTTCAATATAACTTTTTCTTTTTGATGTATCACTAGTTACATTCAAGTTCAGGTATATAAATGATATTGATATGTTAATTATATAGATTTTTATTTTATTATTAAAAAGGAAAATAATGGAAATCAATAGTATTTTCAGCATCAGTATCAACTTAAGGACCTACATTTGATCCATTTAATTCGTATTATCATTTTCACTAAATTTATATATTATTATCTAAGTGAATTCTTTATTATGAAGTCACTTTGAGATTTATGCGTGTGTACAACGCTCTTTCTATTGATCAAGTCAAAATGTGCTAATCTAACACTTTTTTAAATGTCTTTTCACCTCCAGGAGTTCATGCAGTATGGTTCAATTCCAATGCAGACCAACCACATGAAGCCAAGCTATGCAGCTTACCTGTCCAGCAACTTCCCTATGGTAAATATCCTAAAGTCCCTCAAACTGTTGTTTTTCTTACTCTCAAAACACGGACAGATTTTTGTGCCTTTTTTGTTTTTTCAAACCATTACTTCAGCTTCTCTCAATCTTGGTTCTTGATGTTGATACTCAAACATGAGGGTAGGGTTTTAGGTAGATGCATTACATTTCCAGAAGGTAAGCTAATATTGAACAACATCCTATGAAGTGACACCACTTTGCTTTCCACTATCCTCACGGGGTTTACTTATAAAATCAATCAATGTCACTGTTTGCTTCCAAATCATTCAATGCAAATGAGAAGATATCATATATAAATACCAACAGGAAATATTATAAATAAAAACAATTATAAAAGAACCATCAAAGATAAATAACACAACATAGGTGCCCTGCCTACTTCCAACAGAAACCAACCTGCTCTATACAACAGTCAGTCATGCCTGCCTCTGTATTAACTTTTTGTGAATGAACTGGCCCTGGTGAAGAGAGGATGATGACCACTGGGTATTTGGGAAGAGTCCTTAAATATTTGAATTCCACTTGTCTTTCTTGCTTACGAACAGCCTGGAGCCAGCAACAAGAGGCGCCATGAATCAGAGTCATCTCCGCACCAAAAGAAGAGGACGAGGCCCAGTCCTGATCAGAGCTCTGACAGGAGCTCCGACATGGATATTGAGTCTGGTAAATGTTCATCTCTCTCACCTAAAAATGGGCTTCACAAATTACATGAAAACAAAGTTATCGAACTAAAATGGAAGATGTGTCTGTCTGGCTTTATTAGGATTACATGGCTCTTTTAAAACACATATATAATCACATGACAGAAATAGATCTTCTGGAGGTAAAACCAAGCCTCAGAAAGTGGGAAAAAAGGGGTTATATTGACTTTAAAGATTGCATGGTGTTGCTGTCAGACTTACTGCTTTGAGTATTTTAGAAACTGTTGATCTGTTGATCATAGTTTTTTGGGTTGTAGTGCTTTATGTTTAAAAGCTAGATATCAAAGTCAAAAACTGCACAAGCAATATTGTGCTTTTAACAATGTTGCCACGTTGTAAAAAGCAAGTCTTGCATTTCAAAGCGAAAATTCAGAACAATGTACCCTAACACTTGAATCAGCTTATTTTTCTAATCTTCCCCTGTCTCCCCTCAGATCCAGGAACTCCTTATTATCAAGGCCCAGGTGACTTCCAGTTCCAAACACCACTCCCCCCTGGCTCCCCTTGCTACGATTCTCCTCCTCCTTTACCTCTGGGCACTCCTCCTTCAACACCCACTCCCCCACCTCTCCCTAAAGGTACACCTCCTCCCACGCCAACCAACGGATCCCCAGCTCTGCGGAGGCGTAGCTGGGTAGTAGTGGATGAGACTGTACCGGCAACAGAGGATGAGTTGTCATTGGAGGAACTGGAGGAGCAGCAGAGGCTGATTTGGGCCGCACTAGAAAATGCTGACACTTCCACTAACAGTGACTCTGAGACACCTGTAGTGGGAACACCTGTACCTAGTTCACCAAGTGTGTCCATACCGCATGTTGACACGGAAACGGAGGAGGTGGAAGAAACGATGGACACAACGACACCCGCAGAAACTTGCCCTAGCAGTGAAATTCAAAAGAAGCCCGTGGTTCAAGAGATTAAAGCTAAGAGCCCCGAACCAGTCAAAGCACAAGAAGAAATCCTGCAGTGTCCAGTTCCAATCAAATCCCGGGATGACAGCCCGCAGAGCCCTGACCCAATGAAATGCCAGGATGAAAGCCCTCAGAGCCCTGCTCCAATCAAATGCCAGGATGACAGCCGGCAGATTCCAGATCTCGATCCCTCTAATGCTGGAGATTGTGCTTCTCCTCAGCATGACGACAAGATATCAGCTGTTCCTCATAGAAGCAGGTTTGCAGCTGGCATCGTTCAGTTTGAAGATACACCAGAGTACACTGAAGTCGCTGAAGCCACAGGGACATACCTTAAGATCAGAGACTTGCTCAAAAGCTCCCCTCGAAGTATCGCGAAGAAAAAATAATAATGGACCATCTTCATTTGGATCATAGCAGGGATGCATCAATATTTTTTTAATACAAACTTGACCATCTTATAAAGCATTTATTTAGTTGTTAATTGTTTTTTACCAAGTTGAATGTCTATGCTGTGTATACACATTTTCTCTGTTAAGATACAAGGGGGGGGGGCATTAAGGGATGCTGCAACGGAAAATGTTTGTAGGTTTTGACCAATTAGTCATTTTTTTCTAGCAGTTGTGTTACTCATGCTGTTAATTTTATTGTACAATTATAAAATGGTCCTTTCCTGAACTGTATTCATTTTAATATTATGCTGTTTAATGGGGTTTTCTATTTTTGTCCCACTGAAATTGCTCTAAACCATTCAGTAAACAGGCTTTCAATTGCGTCATTGCTTTATTTGGAACGGCCTACCAACAATTAGTATTTTCTTCAGTTTTGTTTACAGCTTTCAGAAAGGGATTCATCAGGTGGATAAGCTTTTAAACAAGAATAATACATGATACATTATTTGTTGATTATATTTTGTTATATTAATCTGAATATTCAAAGTAACTCAAATGTGGTAGGGATGAAAAGAACCTTAAACGTTGCCTCTCAAGACAAGTACTTGATTCAATATAGCTACTGTTACTATCCACCACAGATTATTTCACATAAGCAATTGAGGATGTTTATATTTTTTATATAATATTAAGGGATTTTTACAACAAGTAAATGTTATGTCAATCGTTTCTTTCTGAGTTCAGTCAATATTCTAAACTATGTGTAGATAGAGACTTGCACATACATGCATACGAAATGAGTTGCACATATATGCATACTAAATACCCACATACACCTACATACAGTACATACTTGTGCAAATACACAAGCTTGTGTGTGTCAGTATATGTCGTTTCTAAACCCTTCCAAAGTAATCTGAAACTGTTTATCTACAGTACACTTATTTTTCTTAATGTTTGATTTATTTCCAGTGGCAATTTCCTTAATGGCCACTTAAAATGTCATTAATGAATATATTTGTTTTCACTTGATTATTTTCAAGAAGATCAAACTAATGAATTAGGTCTTAGATTGAAATAAATGTTCTGCCAATGCGTTGGGGGAAAAGCATACTTAAGCAAGTTCTTAGTTTAAAGTTGTAACTGTAGATACAAAAAAGTTATAACTTTAAATAAATAATAACAATCTCAAAATAACTCTAATAATATCAAATCTTAAAATACGGTCCTGGCTTTTTTGAGAAGTTATTTTCAACATTTTAAGGCAACGTTTTTTGTTTGTTTCATTGTTCTTCTACTGGTGGGCATCTGCTTGAATAGTATCAACAGTAAAGTTTGTCTGGAAGTATTATTTTTTGAGAAACTATGGCAAATTTTGGAGTTTGTCATTATTTTTCAGAAAGTTTGTAATAATAACGACTAAAATGTTGGGGGGGTTTTTCACCACAAGGCAAAGTGTTCATCTATTTTCCTTCTACAAGTGGAAATGTGCTTTACAAGTATTAACAGTAAAGTTGAACTTCTGGAAATGTATTCTGCTGTCTCAGAAAGAGGCAGTGTTTCATCTTACTGAACATAACATCTTTGGGCGGCCCCGTCCTACCGTTGACGTTCCTCCCGTTGGTCAGACAGCACTGGCTCTGATCCGTCGACGTGCTTCTCTACTTAGCTTAGCGGTGTATTTCCTGAGAAGACGTAGGCTGCACAGCAACATATCAGGTCAGTATTAGCTAACTCCGACGAGGTCATGTGTTCACATAAACTTGTTTGACTTTCCCCTACCGATAAACCATGAAACTCCACGCTAAATGAAACGTGTCCAGGTTAGTGATACTTAAGGTGGTAGTTTTAGCTAGCTAACCTAGCTTAACAAAACCTGATTCTCTGGGTCGGGCCTCGCAGCTAACGTTACTTAGCAACTAATCACCAGTATTCCAGTCTTAATAACAGACTGGGATTTATTTTAGCCGGATATGTGAGTGTACAGTGAAAACAACTAATATTAACAACATTATAAGGAAAGGTGTCTTAACAGGTGACTTCACGTTAATCTGTTAGAAATTGTTACGCTGACTCTCAACTTGTAGCAGCAGTGTGCCCTACTGGAGCTCTGGTGACATTGCGGACACTTTTGGACTCAAGGAATTTGCTTTAGTCGTTTTGCTTGCCACACTGGTCGGGCTATTCCGGTGTTTTGAATGTTACCTGTATAACTCATCAGAAACAGGATATATGCCTCACCAGATTGGTCAACTAAGCTAGTAAGGTAAGTAAGCTAGCGGTTATGGTGGTTGTATATTCTCAGATTTCTCTTACCAGATGTGCCACCTCATCGACAGCTCTCTATCGGCTAGCTACTGAGAGGGTACAAGGCGAGGCGCTTTCAAAGGCTGCTATACCACTGCCAAGTCCTCAGGACAGTGGTTTAAAGTAAACACATAGATTTAGTTAAGCACTGTACAATTGTGGGGTACTTGTACTTTTACTTGAGTATATCCATTTTATGCTTATTTGTACAATTCAGAGGTCAATCATGTACTTTTACTCCCCTGCATTTATTTAATACCTTGAGTTACTTTGCAGTTTTGGATTAATACTGTGAAATAAAATCAAATAAGAATTTAGTTACACCTGGAGTAAATTCACAAGCTACCTTACAGTATACAAAGTAATTAAAATGAGCTGCACCTTTTCCAGCTTTGATCACACTAATGCATCAATAATTATGATCAATACATATGGTATGTATTATTCTGAAATGGGCCAATCGGCTTACTTTTGGTACTTTAAGTATATTTTGATGCCAACACCTTTCTACTCTTACATATGTAACATTTTGATTGCTGGACGTTTAATTGTAACGGAGTATTCCCACACTCTGGTACTTCTACTTTGACTTAAGTACAAGATCTGAGTACTTCTTCCACCTCTGCCTCAGGATTATTGACTTGACTGCACAGGTACACTATGTCAGTGAAGCAACCGCGCACAAGTAGAGTAAATGCATTTGACAGTTTTGCAGTTGAAAGGTGATACTATTTATTTTAAACCTTTCTGTTTCGGACAAAAATCTGTTTAACTGATTAATAAGAATTACGTTTTTTTTTATGTCGGGTTACAGGCTGGGGAATTTGAGTCAATAACACTTTGAAATTCCGGTATTTCTACTAGTCTTAATCTTCTCCATGTGGAATTTAATCTCAGGCTATATGATAGAATGGCTAACATTGGTGAGGAAGTCTGATTCAAAAAAGTGTATTAATTGGTACACCTAAAAAACATTATGTAGAAAACATTATGTATGATTTTACGTAAACGTAATGTTATACAAATCTCTCTGTTCTAATGGAAGAGGCTTTATACGTTCTGGAAAGTCCGAATATAACCTTGGTGTCGCAGTGGAAACTTTGGATACCCAACCATATATTTTAGTCTCCTTTATGTCTAACCACAATTGTAAGTGCCAGGATTTGTGTTGAGACTGGCTAGAGTTGATATATAGTAGTAGGTTTAATGTCCGCCTGTTGGCAATGAGGCTCCTTGAAAACAGACACAGAAGACGTAGGATGCTTCAAGCTCTCATTCTGTGCTCATGTCCTGTTGGTGTTTTTCCACACCTTCCTCTATCAGTGCTAGCAGGGGACTACACAATCATCCCAGCAGATGTTTCCTCAAAAAGGAAGAACCAGAGCTCTTTTTGGCTTGTGATGAAACAGCAAGAGTGTAGCATTGAGACTTATACCGGTGAATACAAACATCTGCGGGTTGTTTAAAGATGTAATAGGTAGCCGTGTTTGTAGACTTAGTCCAGTCAGTAAAAGCTGGACCTACTGTAAAAACATTCTTAGGAAACCTATTTGTACTTTAATATTCTTGATGTCAATGGTTATTATTAGCCTGCTGAAAAACATGATGGAATGAAAGCCTGCTGTCTTGTGTAACAAGTGACACCCTCCCGCCTGTTAACAAATACTTGGGAGGCTGAACTGGATAGGGAGTTTGTACTGTTATAACAACACATGCAAACAGATTCAGTTCACATCTGTATCATAAATGGTTTTGCACTCCTGCAGTCGGCAAGATATGCTTGACTGAAGAATGTGGGTGGGAGTACTGTATCCAAAAAGCCAGCTTATTAACTATGTAGCAAAGTTATGTAGATACTGATCTGCAGATTTATTTTTGTTCTGCTTTTCCAAACATCATTTTGAAAATGAGTAATAGTGAAATCCTCAAAAACGTTCTACTGTTCATATCCTGTGATCACATACACTTCTGTTATTACCAACATGGAAGTTGTTTATGTCTATTCAGTCATTTTGAGTCAAGTGGAGATGATCTCAGTTCTGTTTGACTGACTACCATATATACCCATTTCTATTTGTGTATTGATAACTGATTTTCTACCAGACTACATTGAATTGGGTATAGCTAAAAAAGTCTAAAAAGTTCATTATAATATTGAACTTTTTCCCAAACATTGGTATTTGGCTTTCTTCACCAGATTTACGTGAGAGTCAGTGCCACAAGATGAACATTACTGCACTGGGAAATTCTCCAGACTAAGTGGATCATTTTCAGCTGACTGCTTTCGTTCAGACAGAGCTGTCCTATCCTCTGTTGATGCTCACAAGACAGTTGTAAGCAGGCCTGGTGATGTTCTAATAAGACATCATTATGCTTTTATTGGCTTCAGAAACAGTTCTTGCAATATTCCAAAGGCTTGTAGGAGTTTTCCTTTTTTATCATTTGTGCTGTATAATTATTATACATAAACTTTAGAATCAACCATGTGGTCTCCAGCCATAGAAAGGCTCTCTCTATTTGGCCTCCCATTGACCTGAGGGCTTAGTCAGTATCACTCAAAGGCACTGTGGGAGAAAACTGGAACGCTGCATTTGAACTAGGTCACTGCCTTCACTGCCTTCTGATAGCCACCCTTTATTTTCTGCTGAGAAATAATGATTAGGCTATGTGAAATCGTGTCCTCGGTAAACCTACACACTTGAGCTCTTAGGCCCTTACAGGAATTAAAGGTATGTTTGTGTGACACCATGGAACAAGTTCTTCATCACATTTTGACCCTTTGTGAGATCAAATGTCTTAGCTGACCTTTTTATTTATGAAAGGGACTTCCGAACAGGCACCCATATCAAGACATGTTTGTTACTCTGCCCCGGGATCCTTCAAGGGTTTGAAATCAATGATTATGCTACTGATAGAGAATAGTGAAAACCATTTAGCCTGATATTATCCAAGCTGTTTATACACTTTACTTACATGGCTGAAGCTAAATTCAGGAGGATAAGTGAAATTACTGCTGAAGCTTGAATGGCATTCAATGTGTAACAGAAAATGGCTCAGATAAAAATAAAGTAACTGGCACAAATTGGTCTGAAAAAGCTTCTTGTTCCCTGTTACACAAACACTGATCCCTCTATCTATCTAAAGAGATAGATTGAGGGATTGAATCCAATTACTAAATACAGTCATTCGGAAAAGTCTTTGGTACTTTTTACTTATACATATTTTCCTAACATATCAACATTTGTTTGCATGTTTTCTACCAAATGTAAGGTTTAATTATGACGCCATCATTAAGAGGCAAGTTAAAACACATACACATTCCAGTAATTGTCAGGTCATGTTGTTGACAAACAGGCTCATCCTGACTTTAGATTGCTTGTGTGTCGTTTGCTTTTACTGATTGTGGTCACACACACAGTCAAGCATGACACTCGGTGTGCTAGACCTTCTGTGCACCTGGTCCTGCAGAGATTATGTTGTCAACACCTCCACTGAGATAGCTTGAGATGCTACATATCTGAGAGTAAATTCAATTGGCCTGAAACTCAAAACCTGTCAGTATAATCAGCAGTTGTTTGATTTCATTAAGGCCATTTCATCACAATGTTACAATAAATCATATTGCCAATCTCCCGGCGACAGGGGCACCATGCTTTAATCCCACGTTCACACAGTTTTCGTGGTGAGGTAATCTGAGAAACAGGATAATCTGCTGGTGATGGTGGTCTTGTTTCTACAGTAATCCTGTTTTTAGGAAAAGCTGCTAACCAGACTTACATGAGTCTAGATGCCAGAATGATGGATTGAGTGAGAGCCTGCTTGGGGCTCTGCCTGTATATTAAGGTTAAGGTCACAGATGAATAGCTATTCAGAAGTTCATGATTGCATAACACAGACTGGCCGGCCTTTGACAGGGTATTTTTAGGTCTTGACTGTGACAGTGTGTGCTGAGCAGCTTGTTGTCATAACAGAAACAAAATGCCACCATTAACACTGCACGAAAAACAAAGTCAGTGAACATGACGTGAAGGCGTATCTGTTGTATTAAAATACATATTTCCATATTAAAAGATTGCTCACAGTGCCACCCATAGCAGAAGCAGGAACAGTCAGCAAATAATACATTTGTCTTAATGATTATTTAACTTGATGTCAAGTAATGTTTCTTTTTTTTTTCCAAACAGGGTCCGTCTTGTGATCATCACTTTTCCTCCCAACTCCCTTTCCTGGTTTTGCTTTTTGTTTAATACTTTTTTTTTTTTTTTTATAATTTTGGTGAAGCGTTCAAAAGTTGCCACCCCGAAGCGGCAACCAGTTTTTTGATGGTCTGGGGTCAGTCTGTACCCACCGTCGGACACAAGCCTTGTAGGTCGAGCAGATCACAGGAAGAAACATGAGTAAGGCCAGTGGGATAAAAGGGCCCAGCAAGATAGGGAGACCGCCTGGGACAGCGGCCCCTAAGACCAACCCCAGCTCAGGTAAGAGTCTTCACCTGGGCCATTGTTGGCAGACCTGTTTTAGCTCATGATACACTGATTGTAGTATCTTGTAGTACAGAGATTTTTTTATGGGTTCATGCAGTATTTTAGCTAGAAACCGGCAAAGAAGGTGGTCAATTTGATTGAATGAATGGAACTGCATATTAGACACACTCACTGTTTATGTTCATCTGTATCCTAACAGACATACAGCAGGGAATCCAATTTGGTGTTTGTTGATCACATTTTTCCAGGTTGCATTCAATCAAAACCGATGTGAGAGCATAACAACCATAATGTACCTTCGCTGCGTTTATATACACCTGTTGTCATCATATTGCATGTTTTGCATATGTTTTGCACTCCATTTTTTACATTAGTCTCACAAGTCATGTGTTCTCTTTCTCTCTCATTATTCTTTAGCAGGATCTAAAGTTGCTGCAACCAACAAACCGGCTCCAGACGCCAGTGCAGAAGATGGTGCCGGGGAGAGCTTCCAGGTTGGAGAGCGAGTCTGGGTTAATGGGAATAAGTCAGGCCACATACAATTTTTGGGAGAGGCTCAGTTTGCACCAGGGCAGTGGGCAGGGATCGTTCTGGATGAGGCAATTGGGAAGAATGATGGCTCAGTGGCAGGGGTGCGCTACTTCCAGTGTGATGCCCTGCGAGGGATATTTACCCGCCCATCCAAGTTGTCTCGCACAGAGGGGGAGGCTAATGGAACTCTGACGGCACCCCCCTCCCGCGCTTCTTCACCCACTCCTTCAGTTAGTAGCGTCGCCTCACATACACCCGCCACAAAATCAACATTACCCTCAACTACCACATCAACCAAGAAGACCTCCTCCACTGCGACACCAGCAACACCAGTGACACCAGCGACACCGGTGACACCATCTAACCTCACACGCACAAACAGTGAATCTGTCTCCAACCTCTCTGAGACTGGATCCGTCAAGAAAGGGGAAAGGGAACTGAAGATGGGCGACAGAGTATTGGTAACGTTTGAACTATTTCCTGTTTTCCTGATCTTTCATTTTCTACAATGTAGTCAAATGAATCCATAACACATGGTCCCTTCCACTTCACAACACATCGTCTATTCCACTTCAAATCAGTGGTCTATTCCACCTCCTGAGCCAAAAGAAGTACTGGTACTAACACTGATTGTAATGATGTACATTTCCATTCACATGTTGACATGTTGGCCTCATGCAGTTCAAAGCTGGTAAATGCTTGTTTCTGTCGCTTTGATAGGTTTATCTCACTCAGGATTTATTACCCAGCAAAGCTGCTTGCTCTTTAGGCTTCTCTCATGTGTGAGATTAAATGTAGGCTAATGTTTAGTGTTTTTCTTCTCAGGTCGGTGGCACAAAGGCAGGAGTGGTACGTTTCCTTGGAGAAACCGATTTTGCCAAAGGCGAGTGGTGCGGTGTGGAATTGGATGAGCCCTTAGGAAAGAACGACGGGGCCGTGGCAGGCACAAGGTACAAAAACCACTGGATCTTTAACTAACTTAAAGAAAAGTTGTTATACTAGTTAACCACATGTTTACTAAGACTTCCATCAGCATGATTGTATTCCAATGTGTGTCCCTAGATATTTTCAGTGCCAACCGAAGTACGGCTTATTTGCTCCAGTGCACAAAGTCACACGCATCGGCTTCCCTTCCACCACGCCAGCCAAAGCAAAAACAACGGTTCGGAAAGTAGTGGCCACACCAACTGGGCTGAAGCGCAGCCCGAGTGCCTCCTCTATCAGTAGCATGAGCTCTGTGGCGTCCTCTGTCAGCGCCAAGCCCAGCCGCACAGGCCTGGTGAGACATGGACACACATCATCGTTTCATCAGTTTTTTTATAATGCTGTGTTTTCTTCCCAGTCTGACGTTGCTTGTGTTATGTCCCTCCATAGCTAACAGAGACATCATCACGGTATAATCGTAAGATTTCCGGCACCACCGCCCTGCAGGAGGCGCTGAAGGAGAAGCAGCAGCACATCGAGCAGCTTATGAATGAAAGGGACACGGAGAGAGCTGAAGTCGCCAAGGCAACAGGCCACGTTGGAGAGATGGCGCAAGAAATGGGCCTGCTCAGGGACGATCAGGAGCAGGTCAGTTACCCCAGTGGTTCAATAATAACTACCTGCATTAACTTTGGCCCAATCCCAAACCACGCCCTACACCCTACCCCTACACACTCCCCCTCCGTTACGGAGTGAACTCCCTGGAGTCAGATGGAGGGAGTAAATACAGCGATAAACTCCCCTCTCTCCGGCAGAAACAGGAAATGCCGTAACTGTATGAAACAGCTTCTAAACACAGGTATGATCCTAAGTTAAAAACATATGAGGTTATCATGAGGTTGTTAACATCGCAGTTTATCAGTGGATGTTTTGCTGGAACTACTTGTAAACAGCTTGTTTCCTGACGGACACACACAGCGTTGAGACCGGTCAGGTAGAGACCGGTCTCCAGTCAGCACCGATGCAGACTCGCTGTTTGATGGCACTCGTTGGTTTGGAACAGCACTTAATGTGGTGGACGCTCCACGCGAACGGAGGGGTAGTGTGTAGGGGTAGTGTGGAGGGGTAGGGTGTAGGGCATGGTTTGGGATTGGGCCCTACTGTTGACCCCTAATGACTCTGAGAAAAAGAGTTGCCTCATCACCTGTATTCATTTTGGTTTGTCTGTTCAAGATGGAGACCAAGATGGATCAGTTGAGAGTCTTGGTAGAAGCTGCAGACAAAGAGAAAGTGGATCTGCTGAATCAGCTGGAAGAGGAGCGAAGGTAAGGGTTGCCAGAAGTCTTACTATCACTCAATCATTCATTTTATAAATGTAGTTTGTTGAGAGAGAAAATGGCATCATAATGCAGTTATACTATTAGTCTTATCAAGTCCTGAGGAAAGATATGTGCCCGAGTTTGATTCACCCTTTTCGTAATCATTGCTTGTCTTTATTTTTCTGTCCAATAGAAAAGTGGAGGACCTTCAGTTCCGCGTGGAGGAAGCGTGCATCACCAAAGGAGACCTGGAGGTAATTGCACGACACCGATACACACCATGGCAACTAACACTTGAATACATCGAATTCAATGTAATTATATTAAAACAGGACTGTAATGAAATTATTGGTATGTTAATTAAATACGAACTCAACCTTTTCCTACTGATTTTAAATGTTATATTAAGAACAATCGAGCAGGTGCTCTTATCACCCTGCATCCTGGTTCAAACTCAGGATATCAGTTGACATAAAACTTGCTCTATAGCCATTACAATAAAGTGATCATTGTGTATACTGTATATCAGTGTGTCTCCATGGATGCGACTAAAGGGTGCTTTCACATCTGTAGTTTCATTTGGTTGGAACCAAGGACAAAAGAAACAGATGCCTTGCTGCATTTTAGCTCTCGTCCCGTTCACGTTCACACACCCATTTAAAGGTCAGCCAATAGGAGTAAACATGGAGTTATACAGAATCCTTGATTAGACAGGTTTGGCGATCGTCGTCCTGCAGTATCCGCACCAACATGGGGAAATCAGAACTTTATTGCTTCTGTTGTATGGATTAAAGATCTCCAGAAAAAATAACTCACTAAAGGGATTTTTGGAGCATATAATTAAAGTGCAAATCGGCAACATTTTATAAATATATCACATTTAGAGAGTGTAAGGATTCTGACCTAATGACTGTTAGGGCTGCTCAATTAATCGTATTTTAATCGCAATTACGATTTTGGCTTGCAACGATTATGAAAACAACATAATCTAAATAAAACTATTATTTTATTCTTTTTATTTTTCAATTATTTTTTTATTATTGGTTTTTCAGTTGAATTATACTTAAAGTTCAGGGTAATCAACTGTTAAAAACGCACTGTTCACATTTTTTTTTTCAATAAATTGATGTTTTCAGGTAAATGGATAATCGTTTTTAATAATCGTAATATCAATTATTGACCCAAATAATCGAGATTATGATTTTTGCCATAATCAAGCAAACGGTTTCACATCAGCATCTCTTAGACAAAAAATGTAAATTAAAAACTCAAATA